TCCTCCTCTTATCACTAACACTGTCCTCCTCTTATCACTAACACTGTTCTCCTCTTATCACTAACACTGTCCCCCTCTTATCACTAACACTGTCCTCCTCTTATCTCTAACACTGTCCTCCTCTTATCACTAACACTGTCCTCCTCTTATCACTAACACTGTCCTCCTCTTATCACTAACACTGTCCTCCTCTTATCACTAACACTGTCCTCCTCTTATCACTAACACTGTCCTCCTCTTATCACTAACACTGTCCTCCTCTTATCACTAACACTATCCTCCTGTTATCACTAACACTGTCCTCCTCTTATCACTAACACTGTCCTCCTCTTATCACTAACACTGTCCTCCTCTTATCACTAACACTGTTCTCCTCTTATCACTAACACCGTCCTCCTCTTATCACTAACACTGTCCTCCTCTTATCACTAACACTGTCCTCCTCTTATCACTAACACTGTCCTCCTCTTATCACTAACACTGTCCTCCTCTTATCACTAACACTGTCCTCCTCTTATCACTAACACTGTCCTCCTTTTATCACTAACACTGTCCTCCTCTTATCACTAACACTGTTCTCCTCTTATCACTAACACTGTCCTCCTCTTATCACTAACACTGTCCTCCTCTTATCACTAACACTGTCCCCCTCTTATCACTAACACTGTCCTCCTCTTATCACTAACACTATCCTCCTGTTATCACTAACACTGTCCTCCTCTTATCACTAACACTGTCCTCCTCTTATCACTAACACTGTCCTCCTCTTATCACTAACACTGTTCTCCTCTTATCACTAACACCGTCCTCCTCTTATCACTAACACTGTCCTCCTCTTATCACTAACACTGTCCTCCTCTTATCACTAACACTGTCCTCCTCTTATCACTAACACTGTCCTCCTCTTATCACTAACACTGTCCTCCTCTTATCACTAACACTGTCCTCCTTTTATCACTAACACTGTCCTCCTCTTATCACTAACACTGTTCTCCTCTTATCACTAACACTGTCCTCCTCTTATCACTAACACTGTCCTCCTCTTATCACTAACACTGTCCCCCTCTTATCACTAACACTGTCCCCCTCTTATCACTAACACTGTCCTCCTCTTATCACTAACACTGTCCTCCTCTTATCACTAACACTGTTCTCCTCTTATCACTAACACTGTCCTCCTCTTATCACTAACACTGTCCTCCTCTTATCACTAACACTGTCCTCCTCTTATCACTAACACTGTTCTCCTCTTATCACTAACACCGTCCTCCTCTTATCACTAACACTGTCCTCCTCTTATCACTAACACTGTCCTCCTCTTATCACTAACACTGTCCTCCTCTTATCACTAACACTGTCCTCCTCTTATCACTAACACTGTCCTCCTCTTATCACTAACACTGTCCTCCTCTTATCACTAACACTGTCCTCCTCTTATCACTAACACTGTCCTCCTCTTATCACTAACACTGTCCTCCTCTTATCACTAACACTGTCCTCCTCTTATCACTAACACTGTCCTCCTCTTATCACTAACACTGTTCTCCTCTTATCACTAACACTGTCCTCCTCTTATCACTAACACTGTCCTCCTCTTATCACTAACACTGTCCCCCTCTTATCACTAACACTGTCCCCCTCTTATCACTAACACTGTCCTCCTCTTATCACTAACACTGTCCTCCTCTTATCACTAACACTGTTCTCCTCTTATCACTAACACTGTCCCCCTCTTATCACTAACACTGTCCTCCTCTTATCACTAACACTGTCCTCCTCTTATCACTAACACTGTCCTCCTCTTATCACTAACACTGTCCCCCTCTTATCACTAACACTGTCCCCCTCTTATCACTAACACTGTCCTCCTCTTATCACTAACACTGTCCTCCTCTTATCACTAACACTGTCCTCCTCTTATCACTAACACTGTCCTCCTGTTATCACTAACACTGTCCTCCTCTTATCACTAACACCGTCCTCCTCTTATCACTAACACTGTTCTCCTCTTATCACTAACACTGTCCTCCTCTTATCACTAACACTGTCCTCCTCTTATCACTAACACTGTCCTCCTGTTATCACTAACACTGTCCTCCTCTTATCACTAACACCGTCCTCCTCTTATCACTAACACCGTCCTCCTCTTATCACTAACACCGTCCTCCTCTTATCACTAACACTGTCCTCCTCTTATCACTAACACTGTCCTCCTCTTATCACTAACACTGTCCTCCTCTTATCACTAACACTGTCCTCCTCTTATCACTAACACTGTCCTCCTCTTATCACTAACACTGTCCTCCTGTTATCACTAACACTGTCCTCCTGTTATCACTAACACTGTCCTCCTCTTATCACTAACACCGTCCTCCTCTTATCACTAACACTGTTCTCCTCTTATCACTAACACTGTCCTCCTCTTATCACTAACACTGTCCTCCTCTTATCACTAACACTGTCCTCCTCTTATCACTAACACTGTCCTCCTGTTATCACTAACACTGTCCTCCTCTTATCACTAACACCGTCCTCCTCTTATCACTAACACTGTTCTCCTCTTATCACTAACACTGTCCTCCTCTTATCACTAACACTGTCATCTTCTTATCACTAACACTGTCCTCCTCTTATCACTAACACTGTCCTCCTGTTATCACTAACACTGTCCTCCTCTTATCACTAACACTGTCCTCCTCTTATCAATAACACTGTCCTCCTCTTATCACTAACACTGTTCTCCTCTTATCACTAACACTGTCCTCCTCTTATCTCTAACACTGTCCTCCTCTTATCACTAACACTGTCCTCCTCTTATCACTAACACTGTCCTCCTCTTATCTCTAACACTGTCCTCCTCTTATAACTAACACTGTCCTCTTATCACTAACACTGTCCTCCTCTTATCACTAACACTGTCCCCCTCTTATCACTAACACTGTCCCCCTCTTATCACTAACACTGTCCTCCTCTTATCACTAACACTGTCCTCCTCTTATCACTAACACTGTTCTCCTCTTATCACTAACACTGTCCCCCTCTTATCACTAACACTGTTCTCCTCTTATCACTAACACTGTCCTCCTCTTATCACTAACACTGTCCTCCTCTTATCACTAACACTGTCCCCCTCTTATCACTAACACTGTCCCCCTCTTATCACTAACACTGTCCTCCTCTTATCACTAACACTGTCCTCCTCTTATCACTAACACTGTCCTCCTCTTATCACTAACACTGTCCTCCTCTTATCACTAACACTGTCCTCCTGTTATCACTAACACTGTCCTCCTCTTATCACTAACACCGTCCTCCTCTTATCACTAACACTGTTCTCCTCTTATCACTAACACTGTCCTCCTCTTATCACTAACACTGTCATCTTCTTATCACTAACACTGTCCTCCTCTTATCACTAACACTGTCCTCCTGTTATCACTAACACTGTCCTCCTCTTATCACTAACACTGTCCTCCTCTTATCAATAACACTGTCCTCCTCTTATCACTAACACTGTTCTCCTCTTATCACTAACACTGTCCTCCTCTTATCTCTAACACTGTCCTCCTCTTATCACTAACACTGTCCTCCTCTTATCACTAACACTGTCCTCCTCTTATCTCTAACACTGTCCTCCTCTTATAACTAACACTGTCCTCTTATCACTAACACTGTCCTCCTCTTATCACTAACACTGTTCTCCTCTTATCACTAACACTGTCCTCCTCTTATCTCTAACACTGTCCTCCTCTTATAACTAACACTGTCCTCCTCTTATCACTAACACTGTCCTCCTCTTATCACTAACACTGTCCTCCTCTTATCACTAACACTGTCCTCCTGTTATCACTAACACTGTTCTCCTCTTATCGCTAACACTGTCCTCCTCTTATCAATGACACTGTCCTCCTCTTATCACTAACACTGTCCTCCTCTTATCACTAACACTGTCCTCCTCTTATCACTAACACTGTTCTCCTCTTATCACTAACACTGTTCTCCTCTTATCACTAACACTGTCCTCCTCTTATCACTAACACTGTTCTCCTCTTATCACTAACACTGTCCTCCTCTTATCACTAACACTGTCCTCCTCTTATCACTAACACTGTTCTCCTCTTATCACTAACACTGTTCTCTTCTTATCACTAACACTGTCCTCCTCTTATCACTAACACTGTCCTCCTCTTATCACTAACACTGTCCTCCTCTTATCACTAACACTGTCCTCCTCTTATCACTAACACTGTCCTCCTGTTATCACTAACACTGTCCTCCTCTTATCACTAACACTGTTCTCCTCTTATCACTAACACTGTTCTCCTCTTATCACTAACACTGTCCCCCTCTTATCACTAACACTGTTCTCCTCTTATCACTAACACTGTCCTCCTCTTATCACTAACACTGTCCTCCTCTTATCACTAACACTGTCCTCCTCTTATCACTAACACTGTCCTCCTCTTATCTCTAACACTGTCCTCCTCTTATCACTAACACTGTCCTCCTCTTATCACTAACATTGTCCTCCTCTTGTCACTAACACTGTTCTCCTCTTATCTCTAACACTGTCCTCCTCTTATCACTAACACTGTCCTCCTCTTATCACTAACACTGTCCTCCTCTTATCACTAACACTGTCCTCCTCTTATCACTAACACTGTTCTCCTCTTATCACTAACACTGTCCTCCTCTTATCTCTAACACTGTCCTCCTCTAATCACTAACACTGTCCTCCTCTTATCACTAACACTGTCCTCCTCTTATCACTAACACTGTCCTCCTCTTATCACTAACACTGTCCCCCTCTTATCACTAACACTGTCCCCCTCTTATCACTAACACTGTCCTCCTCTTATCACTAACACTGTCCCCCTCTTATCACTAACACTGTCCCCCTCTTATCACTAACACTGTCCTCCTCTTATCACTAACACTGTCCTCCTCTTATCACTAACACTGTCCTCCTCTTATCACTAACACTCTCCTCCTCTCTTCAGTCAATACGGCAGACCGTACATGATGACATGTCTGAGAGACATGCTGTATGTTAACAGCGAGGATAAGAGTATAGTTATGCAGCCCTACAGGATCATCAACAGTCTCATGGACAGACAGGACTTTGGTCAGTCTCCACTTCTTCATACCTAACATACTTAACATACCTCAACTTCTTCATACCTAAATCACAACTAGTTTACTCTAATTGAATTAGTTCCCTTTAATTAACCCGGGTTAAGGTTGATAAGAGCTCCTTGCTTTGTTCCATTTCCCGCTCCCCACCCCTTCACCCACTAACCCCGTCTTATCTCACTAACTTTTCAGGAAGTGCAATAGTAGAGGACCTGCTAGTAGACATTACCAGGGCCCTGTATAAGAACTGTGTATCTCAGGGTATCAGTGTTACTGCCTCTAACATCAACCAACTCAAACTACTAACCACCGTCACTGCTAAAGGTACGTTATCAGTTGACCGTATTATCAGACAATTTAGTTAGTGATGATTATAAACAGTGGTAAAGGTGAATTTATTGGTGCTTAACTTTATCCCGAGTATAAGTGATACCTCTAGGTATGTTGTTGTTGTCTTGGGTCAGTTGGTAATCTAGCTAGGTACACTTGGGCACACTTGGGGCACAAAATTACCAATATACCGTTGTTCACTTTGTACTACAGCACTAAATATCATGATATATATCTTAGAGTTGATAAAAGCAGCTAACCATCTGTTGGGTACATTTGAGCCGGGGCTACTGTGGGACTGGCTGTCTGATCAGCTGACTAGTAAAAATAGTGAGAGTAGTAAGGATGATAACAAGGAGGATAACAAGGAGGATAACAAGGAGGATAACAAGGAGGATAACAAGGAGGATAACAAGGAGGAGAACAGCAAACTCTTTGTTCCCAGTACAGATCCTGACTTTGAGGAGATCCTATCTCTCACCGACTTCTTGCTCGAGATCGTCTCTTTTGTGAGTTTGTTATTGTTTATTATTACGTATATAACTTTATTCAAATCAAAAATAGAACATTTAAAAAAAAATCGAAAATAGAGCATTTTTACTAATCACTTTGTTATTGTAATTAAACTAATCTATGTATTGGTCAACTTGCCTGCCAATTAGTGGACCCCCACTCGGACACACCCTCACACGGTTACTGACTGTGATCTTAGTCACTAGTCACTATTCACTAGTCACTATTCACTAGTCACTAATCACTAGTCACTAGTCACTAGTCACTAATCACTAGTCACTAGTCACTAGTCACTAGTCACTAGTCACTAGTCACAGTCACAGTCACTAGTCACAGTCACAGTCACTAGTCACTAGTCAATAGTCCCAGCTTCACAGTCAGTAGAACAGTATACCAGGTGGTAGACTGGATCAGTTATCATGTCACTAACACTGCACACATAAGTTAAAAGTTATATACATGTAACACAATCCGCCTGCACAGCTATACCTACATTTCATGTGGGATTTACATTGGGGCCGACTACAGCTCTACAGTGATCAGTCAATACTTATTTAAATCAATAGAGATAATATGGTTCGATAGAATTAAATCTTATCATGTTGGCTATAAATAGATTAAATGAATGTTACACACCAAAATCGGGTAATGTTTTATTAAATTAAATTGTCATGGTTATAGTGAAGTGGTTAATGTGTTATTACAGTATTATGTTACTGTAAATTATCATCATGATGTAAGTATTTAAGAAGTATGATGCTTTGGATGGGAGACCTGAAACTCAATACACTATCTCACTAGATATTTGAGAAGATATATTATAATATTATACTCTGTACGATTTGTAAAACTTAGATATCACGTGACTTGATGTATAGCACTGTACATTTCTGGGGAAATATTTTATACATTGTACATATTTTAGGAAGTGGAATGTACAACTCATGAGATTGTACACTGTGCAGTCTACACGCAGACAGCAGATGTTAAATGAACAATATAAACTGGTGCATAGTGTACAAATGCTGGAGATGTGCAATATAACTACATAATAATAATACTAATAATAACAATATAATAACAATATAATAACAATAATACTAATAATAACAATATTTATACTAATAATATAACAGTTACACACGATCTCAGGAGTACAGTGCGTCAGTACAGGCTACCTTCCTCCCCCAAGTGCTGCAGAGTATTTGCAAGTATCTGCACGCGCATGTCGCCATGCTAAACGGCGCGACCCTGGCGCACGCTATAGAGACCAGTTCTAATCTGCTGTCTCGCGCACAACCAACTACTGTTAGCACGGACAATATATATGCTAATCCTGACAGTGAGTGTGTTTTCTAATGCTATTAGTTTTATATAGAGAAGTTTGTTCTATTTTAGAGTTTAATATGGTTAAAACAAATCGGTGTTTTGATTTCAAGATTTTCGATCAGAATTCATATTGCATATTATATCTATCGCTATGTGGGGTTGACTTGACAGCATGTTTTACTTGCTTCTAGAACTACATAGTTATAGATTATAAGTATGTAGTTCCGGAATCGAGCAGGTCGTAATTCTTGGAATTTCAGGGCTGTTACATTGTTCCAAATTTGTTTGTTTCCAAGAATTAGTGATTAGATTCCTAGTCAGTTATGCTCAGAAATCATTTGCATTAAGAACGAGTAAATATACACATAAAATAATGTAACGCCTACATTCCTACAGCAGATAAACCTGAAGAAGGAGAAGTAAAAGAGGAAAGTGGTGCAGGAGGAGGGGATAATAAGAAGAAGAAGAAGAAATCAGCATCAGAATCCCAAAAAGAACTGCAAATGGATGAGATGAGTGTGATGTTTGACGTGGAAAGCGAGGACGAAGTAAAGTTAGCATCTGTAGCAGGGCTGCTGCCAAGTCAGGATTACGTTTCTGAGGCTATCTCTATGTAAGGAATTTATTTGCTGTTGATGAAAATGTGTTAATGTTTTGTGTAATCAAGTCCTCTAAGTTTCGTGAACAACAAATTAAAAATTAAGTCTGTCAATATCAACATATTTACAGCATTTTATTATCTATCTATGTATTTTTCCATCACAATCAACATTGAACACATGCAAATACCGGAGATGTTTGACATACTCATATAATAGTACACTGATCACGTGCTCCCCCCAGTTACCAAGCATTCCTGCACGAACTGGTGAGAACGCGCGTGCTATCAGTCTACAATTCATCATGTGACTCAGCAGATGTAGAGGAGATAGTGACCATGTTTCTTCCTGCCTGTGCTCTTCTCCTAGACTTTGCTTGTTTCCCTATCTTTTGTAACATGGATAATGAGACACTTAAACAACCGCTTCTTCTCACTGACTCAACTATAAATGGGAAGATAGGTAGCGTGATAATCGTCTCATTCTGTTTGCATTTTAATTCCTAGTGAAAGTGTGATGTCACTTCCAGAAGTAGAAAATTGAATTACGTCTCTGAGTTTCGTAAGAAAACTAATGATCAAAGTACTGAACTAAAGATTAAAGTACTGAAATAATCCCATGTATGATTTCAGATGAAAAGATAGCGTTACCAGGGTGGCTTTTGTCTCTTTTAGAGTGTTGCAAAATAACAAACTGGGAGGAAATAGTTCTCGCGTCTATCAAGACATTAACAGTTCTAATCGGGCTCACCCTTTCGATAGGTTGGTTCAGTTGTAACTTTATCACTCAGTCATTACAGCAAAGTGTTTGAAAATATCTGTGACACATACTAGATCCGGTTTAATGTTGCGTGAAACTTGACCTAAAACTGCCAGTCATCCGTCGAGTGTGCCAAATATAGCCGTACTGCTCGTAAACGTAACGCGCGGGGACAAACGTGAGATGCAACATGATTTGGCGCAACATTTACCATGACCTCAATTTCAAAACGCGCACTTTTCGATTTCATTAGTACTAGACTATACTCTCGAATTGTAAACCTAATATTAAACACTTGACTTGCCACTTGGCCCCAGGCCCAAACTCTGGTACTCTCATGAGTCATGAATTATGAGAAGCAAACACCTGAAAATGTCTATTACATCATGTATTATATCACTCCGCTTTATAGCTATTCAATCGTGTAATCTACTGCAGCTGTTAAGTGGCCACGTTGCAGATTCTCAGTACAGTATTATAATAGTGAATTAACAGTCGTTACATGACTTCTTTAATTTTAACACTTTTGCCAAATACCATTCCCTCTTATTTAAGATACTTATCTGTCACGTGCCAGCTCATCCATTACACGGCGCAATGTCACGTGTTAAAACTAATTCTGTTCACTCTTGGCTGGTAGCCAACTTACCGTCTCCTTCATACACACTTTTTTCAGCGGAAGAGCAAGGAGCAGGAAGGAAGACTCTGGAGGGAAGTGTAGCTGTGGTTCTCATGCCAACGTTATCAGAAACTCAACTCCGTTTCATTCAGTCCAAAACCTTGTACTTTACAGATATAGTGCGGAGTTTGTGGGGATATTTGTCGGCAAACTACGCAAATCTACATCACAGAGTGGTGAAGTTGCTGTGGAAGTTACACCATTTAGCTCCATCTCCTGATATAACTGAAGATGTTATCGGTGCTATGTTATCTAGCAATCTCGTGGTAAGCACATCTTTCACAGATTCCTATTTTTTCCCTATACTAACGTTTATGTTTGCCAAAAAACCTGAGCTTAAAGAAATTAAGAACCTCCTTTTGAGATAACTGAATATCAAAAAACGTCTGAGATCAGTTGCCTTTATTTGGCCGATCAGCTATAGTTACTATTCATCTTATCAATAATGAATCATAACTGGACATAGAGCTGTTGTTCTGTAATAACAGACTCTCTCACAGACTAATAACAGACTCACAGACTAATAACAGACTCTCCCTTCAGTCTAACCGATTAGAGGGACTGAGACGGTTCACAGTGTTCTGGCACATATCAGCAAGTCTAGCTGATAACTGCAAAGAGTGGAGCAAACTTCAAGTGTCCGGCAAGGACCTTAGCAGGTTTGAGAGACATTTGTTTATTAACTTTGAATAGTGTTGACGATGAAGTCTTACTCCAAAGTTCTAAGTAGCAATAAAACAAGTATTCGATTTTACGATGCAAATTCAAACAGCAAATTCATGGCTTGAAACACAAAAAACGTCAGGCTGATACTCTTCACATCAAAAAAAACTGCCCCTTAAATGTCCTGTCATCGAGAAGGTCACCCTCCTCTCCCGCTTAGTGGCCTGCTAAACGCGTTCCTTCTTCATCACCTTTTTAGCGGGTCCAAAGAGAAGTCGTCCCCTGTCCTCAGACCGGGTCGTGCCACTGCCGCTCCCAAATACTCTAAGTCTGCTGGCCTGGTTCCTGTTTCCCAGTCTGAAGGCTTGTCTCTTCTTCACCGCTACTAATTCGCTTCCATCAACTGAGGAGATAATGTGTTGGGTCATGAGGGTTTCATGAGGGTCTGCAACGTAATATCTCAGTTCCTCATTTAACTTCTTGCAACTTCCTTCCAGGGGAAGTTAACGCTCATTGCATACTAATTCTAGCCTTATGATTATGAGTCTGAGTCCTAACGTTTTCATTAAAATCAAAATGTTCATAGGTCCTCCAGACTCGAGGAAAAGGACACAAATTAACCCCAAACTAAAGTGGAACACTTTGAAAGTTTAGATTTTGATCTAGGTATCTGGTAGAACTAACTAATTAATCTAACCCGCCAAATAGTTCCACAACAGTAACTCACCTAAATCCGTTCCGTCGTATTGAACAACCATGCTGTTAATCTCCAGCACCACCATCAGCAGGATCAAGGTAACAGTTTGAGAGATCATGATGCAGTAAACTGATTCCTGGCCGTCTCTCCCGGACTTTTAAACCGTGCTAGGCTGATCACGTGACAAGTTTTACATCGGTCACGTGACCATTGCATTCCCCCAGACGGGTCGAGTACAATGGTCACCGTGGTTTGAACAATGGCTGCTAGCTCCATTAGATTTTATCTACCATTTCAGTCCATCAATCAACCGTTTTGTTGATAAAGGAGTAATTTTTGGTGTGTGTCCTCTAATGTACTAACATTGTTTTATCCGGTGATGGTACACAAAGAAGAATGATGTCAGCCGACCGTTTCGTTCGCTCCGATATTAGAGGGGTCACGTCGTGTCTGAAAGAAAACGATTGTACGTGTTTTCATTTCCATTCATGCATTCCGTTCGCTAATATAGTTTCACAAACAATGCCACTTAGTTTCACAAACAACGCCACTCTGGAATTGAATGATCGCTACCATCTTTCTCTGACATTATTGGTGTTGGTCAATGCTACTACGGTCAAATATAACGCAATGACTCTAATATTGATGTATTAAGAAATACCTTTCCTTCCATTAAAGAGTAACTTACTCAAGTGAGCTGAGTATGAAAGCTGTTATCTGCTACACTGGTAGTGCGGTGAAAGAAAGATATTAGTTATCTCTGCAACCTGTGCACCTGCAGAGTGCACACGTGGAGGTGGTCTAATAGCAAATAATAAGGGATAGCAAATAATAGCAAATTACAGAGGATTATTTCACGAATCGCATTACACGACTTTGGACTTTGGAGTTTGGTTATTGGTAACCCTAATTCAAATAAGATTACATTATACAAAACATCTTGATCTGGAGAAAAAAAATTAATACTGCTCATCATGTAAAAACGAGAAGAGTTAAAGCTCTGAACATACCCTCCAAATTCTGCACGTGTACAATCTCTGAACCCTCTATTTTGCAGGACCACATTAGTCTTGTTGGAGTGCCTTGGAGGATCTGACTATCAGTCCAGACTGCTTGCTAAAGCCTGGATCTCCCAATGTTTCCACTACGGAGATCTCAACAGGATCCTAGACCCCCTCCTCATCCAACTGCTCCACCCATCCAGCGCGCGCAAGCTCGCCTTACCCGAGACCTACACTCCTCCGGAGCCTGAAGACACTCTGTCACTGCACTCGCATGGTGAGACAGAGGACGCACACTCGCTCAACACTCGCACTAAACTGTCAGTGTTCTCCGAGGACAGTGAAGCGGAGTACAGTACAGCAGAGAGTGAGATGACGGGAGACAATGAGAGTTTGAAGCTTAAGGAGGAGAAGAAGAGGACAGATTGTCAGAACGAACTGTTCTACTCCCAGGAGTACGATACTAACAGGAGCAAATATCTCTGGCAGATCATCCTGTCCATGATGCAGGCTGACCCCACCCCTTTTATCAGGTGATTCATTTATGACAATATCTTGATTATCATATTAAAGTTTCTTAATCAGCGTATTTGTGTATAATGGTCGGTTCATAATCTTATCGGAGTTCAAGAATATGGCCCATTCATAAGGAAGTTATGTTAAAATGCACTTAAAATTCACGTTAAATATCGTAACCGCAGGAGTTGTCACAACGCAAAGTTCAACGCAACAAGCAAATACCTTTCCCAAGAAGTGTACGAGCTATTCCACAAACACCGCATGTCCATCAGAGACGAACTCTACGCAGATCCCTTCTTCATGACCACCCTCTCTGAGAAAGACCCCAAACTAGACTCTCGTCTCTCCGTAGCTGAGAGACTCCGAAAGATCTCCAAGAGTTACCTGGAATTATTAGTGACAGTGTGTTTGTGGTACTGCAGGGCGAGATACGATCACAAGCGGATCAACCAGTGTGTGTGTGAGAGCAACAGGGAGGTTAGACTTGTGGCGGTGGAGTTCCTCTCCACTCTAGTTCAGAAGTGTGTTTCTCTCCCCGGAGATCTGAGGAAGGTGGCTTGTGAGACTTTGTTTGATAGGTGCCATCTCCAAGAGTCTGTATTGTACGTTTTACAGAGGTCTATTGTAGCTCACACTGAAGCTGCTTATATCGTTCAGGAGGACCTGGAGATTCTGGAGTGGACTAAAGTGTTCCAGTCTGAACTACTGGTCCTGGTTCAAAATATTCTGAGGTTGGAGAATGTTATAGGTTGGGGTGACTCCTCAAAGTTAGCTAGCCCACTTTCTAAGTACGAGTTTGACTACAAGTACGTGAACTACTACATGAACTGCCAGGATACCCACATTGCCAAAGTGAACCTGGTGGACTCGGAAGTAGAGACCTCCAACAACCCCAAGTATATCCAGAACCTACCAATGGTAGGACAACCTCTCTTCGCACACTGCGTGCTAGTAGCTCTCACCACCCGACGAGTTACCTTCATCCACAAGAAATGGTTGGACACCATCTTCTCCTGTTTCGACTACAAGTCCCCTCTAATAAAGAAACTATCAGAAGTAACAGTCCAGCAGATCCTACACAACACCAGACAGCTCAGTAAAGAGTACCACAACATCAAGACTCCCAACCCGGTGGTGGGGTGTGTTCCAGTTAACCAGATAGTGCTGCTACTGGAGTCCCTTACCTCAGTCGTTCACTTCATCCTGGTCCACGCTCCTATTGTCCAGTCTTCCAGCTCTGAGACCAATAGATCTGGGTTCCTCATGCTGTTCTCCATGGGTAACGAAGCAGCGAGTAGTGCTAGTGATACCGAGTATGAGTTTGTTAACGATGCTAAACACAACATGCTCCAGTTCATCCCCAAATGTTTTGATACTCTTCTGGATGTCTGGATCAACTGGAAGATGGTGGACTCGGAGAGGGTAGAGAACTTATACCCCTGGGGTAAACCTCTGGATGTCAGGAATCTGGTCCTCAACTTTGTGTCTCCTCTCTTCAAGAAATACCCTGCCTCAATGCTCAGCTCTCTTTGTGAAGTGTGGCATCTGAATCGTAGGAACCTGATATTTGGGAGACCTGGACACCTTGTATCTGCTCCCAGCAAGAAGCAGCTGGCTCTTATTGATCTTATCATGGACATTACTGTGTGTACGTATGATGTGGTCTTGAAGAACTCACAGAAGCTCCTTAACACCGCTGCTTCTCATCCTAGAGACTCACGGGAACAGTTCGGGTTCTCGTTCGAAACAGAACTGGTCCACCTCACCTTCGAGTACTTCAGACACCTTAAGAAACAGACGATGCAGAAAGCGTGGCCTCATCTTCTGAATCTGCTCAGAGAAGCCTGTACTATCACTAACCAACCCCCCGTCACTCTGCTAGCAGTGGGATTCCTCAGCTCTACCTGACTAACTGTCCTCAACTAGACGACACCAAGTCGAGGAGAGAGCTACAGGAGGTCACTGTCAAGCTGATTGAGCTGACGACTGAGATAGCTAGCAAGTCTCTATCACATAACTCATGGTTCAGCAGGAAATCTGAGGTGCTGCCCGAGTATAACGAGTTAGTTAGCGTAAAGAAAGAAGACTCAGAGGATAGCTCTTCCGACGAGGAGAATTACGAGGGCAACAACGTGTACACTCTGCAAGCAATCTACGTTCTCAACGAGTGCCTCTCCCAGATAATAGATCTGGTGTACGGATCAGAGGAGAAGGATAAAGCTATAGCCATCCTCTCTCCTCTTATCTCCAAGATTTCTGTTTACATCCGTAACCACGCGTACCACAACATGCCCAACTCTAAAGCCAGCGCGGCTCTTCTCTCCTCTATCACTGACTATCAGTATTGTAGGAAGGCTTGGTCTAAGGAGTTGTTTGAAGCTCTGATGGACCCAGATTTCTTTGTTATGGAGCCCACAGCCCTGTGTCAATGGAAGGTGATAACGGAGCACCTGATAGCACATGATAACTTGCTGTTCCAGGATCTCCTGGTCCGGGTTACAACAGCTACTGGAGGTCTGTTCAGCTCTAACGAAGTGTTTTACACACAGAAAGCGAGACTGTTGAGGAGGCTATCCTTCACTATGTTCTGTTGTGAGTATAATCAGTTCGCTAAGTACATCTCCAAGATACAGGAGTGCTTTGTAGAGGCACTGAAGCTCGGACAAGCACCTCAGGTCATCAGGGAAGTATTCCTCGGTTTCAGAGTCGTTATTTTGAGGATGTCCCCTGGAACTTACACTCCACTCTGGCCCATCATGCTCAATGGTAAGGAGCTTATTTCTCAAGCCTTTGGTTTTGTTGTATTGGTGTTTTCGTGGGACTATTTTGCCTTAAAAATGCTTCCTTTTTCTCTCCTTAAACTTCACCCGAAGGGACATCAATAAATGTAACCTTATTTCAGAATTATACGGGAATCTGGTTGAGTTTAGGGATACGCTCAAGAAGAAGAAGTCTCAAGATAGTCTAGACTTCTCTCCCAAGATCCTGGCTATGTATCTGTCAGTCAGTAAACTGTTGGACCAGGCTCTTATCCTACCAGCGCACATGATCCCTGACTTCCAGGTTTATATCACACCTAAATAATTAAAGAAACTGTACATTATATGTACTGGCTGTAGGACTCGTCCTGTACGACACAGTTTTAACAAAGAGCACGTTGTAAAATTGTGCACATCATTCCAGACGATATGTTATATTCCTGCCATACCATTTCTCACATCTCTGCTCCCTAGGTTCACCATTGGTCGTTTGTTTGCGACAGACCACTGGACCAACAGCCTGACCTCGTGGACCAGACCTTCGCTTCCTTGTCAAGGGAGATCAGCGAGGAGTATGAAATGGTACGTGACTATCTTTTAGCAGCCCCGGTCACCCACCTACATCCGGACATCCCTTCAATTCCATATTGGGAACTTTCAACCCTTCTATGGATTCTATATTTTGGGGATTGATATAAACTTTCGATTCAAATGTTATCTCCTATTCAATCACTTTCGCGGGTACTAACTTATTTTGTACAAATTCAATTTTATGATCAAACCAACTAAAACTTCTCAGGTCATGGAGTTAGAAGAAGAAAGGCTGAGGAGAACAAGGAATGCGCCCTACATAACATACCCTAATATTGCTAGTTTCTGGGACCTTCAACCCTTCTATTCCGGTAATTCTTTCAATTTTTTCAACTGTTTCATTTTTCCATTTCTCTTTAAAGATATCATCATTATCATAATCCTTGACAAATTATACTGTTTTTTATCGGTCTCAACTCAAATGTTTTAAATTTTTGATTGGTTAAACAAATTCGTTTTACAGGTTTAGCTAAGTATGGTCTATTTAATACGATAGACAAGGAGATCACAGAAGAAACAACTGTCAAACTGCTAGAAGATTCACTCGATCTGGAATACCTAGACCTAAACTAGAGTTCTGCTGACTCTAAACTAAACTGAAACATGGATGATCGGCCACAGAATACAAATTAGTTATATCAGACGAGACAGCGCAGATGGATAGAAATTGGGTAGAGATCAGACCTTTAACTTGAATGTATTTAACATGCTCTGAGAGATGTATAATGTACAATGTATAACATGCTTTGAGAGATGTATAATGTACAATGTATAACATGCTCTGAGAGATGTATAATGTACAATGTATAACATGCTCTGAGAGATGTATAATGTACAATGTATAACATGCTCTGAGAGATGTATAATGTACAATGTATAACAAGAAAGGACAATGACAAGCTAGATAGGCTGGAAATTTAGTGTTAATGTCATCTCTTAATTTTAGATGAAGTGTAGTTGTGGGACGAATAATTATTGTTTTTGAGATTAATTGGTAATGTTTTATGTTTTGAAATTGATGTTTTACGTTCAAGATATTGTCCTGATTTGCTATTGAACGGGTATCAGTGATATGATCACCCGTTAACCTATGATTTGCAAAATGATGATTTTACCTCGAAATCGATTTGAAGCTTGTTTTGAAATTCTTGGATCTTACATTTTTCCTGTTGAAGTTGCGCTCTTTAATTAACTCTTACAAGATTTTAAAAGCGCCGTGAAACGTAAATTGCATGAGGATTTCAGGTGAATAGTTTAAATTGTCCGAAGCACAAATTCTTAGAATTTTAACTGTTAAGCTGGTAAAATGAATGTTCATTTGTTTGTGCTGGCCACAACTCCACTTTAATATGTTGATTATAACAAACCCAATACAATAATGAATTTATTTGTTTTTATGGCGATGTCTTTCTCACAATTCAAATAGTGAGTACGATTAGTGAGTTTCAGGTGAGCCTAATACTACTAGAATAATTTCAATAACACGGTGACATTGAAGAAATACTGGTGAGCGCTTTTAGTAAGTTGGATTTGTAAAAGTGCTGAGATTTGAAAGTAACCTTACCTCAAATTATCTAATAATGTGTTTTGCTTTGTTCAAATTAAGATAAAGTAAATTTACAGTTAATTATTTCACCTCATTACCATGTGTCTACTACGTCCTAGCTGTGAGTCTTGAGGAGTCATTCATTAAAGTAAGTCCAGTGAGTATATACTCATATTTTACATTTATATTAAGCCAACATCCACTGTACTTTTGGCATTAAATTAGAGAGAAAACAATTTACCCGCACCAAGGGGTAAATATTAATATAAAAGGAAATGTCAAATCTTAGTCTTACTCTATAATACAACAATTAATCAATTAAAATGGAATAGATCTACTACTTTATGCAAACGTTGTAACTGAACTAATTACCTCGGCTGACGAAGAAGAATCAATATTTCTTGGACCGTTCAAGCTGGTAATGGTATTGACAATAGCAAGTAACAACATGGTATTAGTAGGAATCCTCGTGGATATGTGACCTGGAAAACGACAACGTAATTTTGTACAATCATGGATATTAATTGAGAATAAGGAACTACGATGTTCAACTGCCTTTTTATTATTCTTAGATCTAAAATGCTGAGACTAATAGAAAATGAATTTACCTCCAGAACGAACACGCATGATGGTCTTTGGAATTGTAATCTAGTTTAGGAGGAATCTTATCAACAAAACTGCAAGATGTACTCGTGTCTGGTTGAACCTATGTAGAAATGACGTATTACTATAGCCACATAGGAAACTGGTATAGAAACTTGAAAACAACTTTATTGTCAATTCACGTCTGAACTCTTAAATTAGAAGCAAGACAGCTAAATAAATGCTCACATCAAATTAAGGAAAAGAACTTACTGGATTACTACGTCTAGCAGTAGCAAGCTTATCAAAACATGGCGTAGCCTGTCGAAACCTGCCTACTGGCCCCTGAGTACTGGAACAACCCTATCGACTGTGCTGGCCTAAGACTCCCTCGTTCTCCGATCGTCATCCTCATATATCATATCCGAATCTCACTGAGTCCGCTGCTCATTATCGTTAAACTCTGCCGCTCATTATACATCCTTACGATCCATAGACCACCGTCTGAAACGGTAATCGTACTGTAGTGCGACACGTATTCTAGTGCGAAGCCCGACAAAAACACCCTCTGTCGCACTACAGTACGTGTCGCACTACGATCCAGGTAGCGTACTCTAGTACGACAAAATATCCTGAATTATTTCCCAGTTTAGGTAGCGCATTGTAGTGCGACAGTGTCGGCCTTGAAAATCCTCTGTCGCACTACTACTAGGGTACGTGTCGCACTACAGCACGTCAACGTGAACCTATCTTCAAGTTAAACACAAAATCATTCAAGCACAGAATGACTGGAAATTATGGGAATTTCCGAGGTTCATTACAAGTAGCGTAGCATCTGAGACAATATTCTGTACCATATTGATATAATAATCGTAAGAAGTCCACTAATCACTCGCTTGGGCAATGTTATCGGCATTGTTGTTAATGAACCTCTGCTGAATCCGGATGATGATTAGCACGCTCGGGTGAATTCAGGTATTAACATACAGAATGTGTAAGATAAATATTAGAATATCTAAGATAAATCGTCAGATTTCTGGTTCATACTAGCTGGGCTTTGTCTTGCCACCCTGCTAGATTATATAACGCTACAACTTTTCCGGTTCTGGTAAAATTCACATTTGCAGTGATAACTCTAGCTCCTCAGATTCTGCAGATTACATTTTCCTGTTAACCTCGTGAATACAGTCCCGAGAAATCAACCCTAGTTTTATTTCTGACTTGAAAGTCGAAACTTTCCAAAATGTTTCTCCTATTCAGTCTCATAATCTGCATCGTATCTCCGGTTGTTATTGCTAAAACAGTGGACAGAAAGTACACGCGTTGTGCTCCCGATCACTATGGTATCGACGAAGGCCAAGGAAGTGGGTGCGAGCCATGTGATTGTAACGCCTACGGTGTGGCGTATAAGTCAACTCTGAACGAAAATAGAAAGCGAGATCGTGAGTTAGATCAGAACATTATTTAAGATTTGGAATTGAAATGGTTTCTTTTTTATCCCTCTGGATATATTCTGCGTACTTGTTGGGTATATTATTGAATTTGCTCATTTCTACTATATTAGTGACCCTGTTCAATAGTTTTGAATTGCACCAGGTGACATGTCATGTGACCAGATGACAGGACAGTGTAACTGTGCGGTGATCTTTAACGTCAGTCTCCGAGAGAAGTACACTCAGAACAAGTATGATGACCGACGTTGTGACGGCTGTCCAAATCTCCAATACCTGGACCCTGATTCCCGGTCGTGTGTTGGTAAGTGCTCACTTTTTACGGAGGTCTCTCTTGCCATTCGTTGATTCCTTCAGATCGCTTAACTCAGGTAGATCGTCGTCCACTTAGAAACGGCCCTCATTATACTAGAGTTGGTACAACAATTAACCAATCAGCTGCCAGCAGTGACCATTAAATCAGAGCTTACTGTCACGTCTCAAAAGAGACAGATCGCTCTCCTCCCACTATTTAAATCTAGTCTATAATTTCAAGAAATAACTCCCATACACCCCAGATTGTAACTGCCATCCAGAAGGATCCAGAAACTTCCAATGTGACCTTTATACTGGAAACTGCGAATGTAATCCTATGATTGTTGGACAACAGTGTGATACCCGTGAGTGTGATTTTAAACACTGTTTCGCTGCAATTCTTGTTATATTTATTTAAAACATTGTAGTACCATCACATACTTTTCCTACTAATAACTATTGACTATGCAAGACCCTCTTGCTCAATTTAAGATTTCGTAGCGAGGTATTCTTACTAAGTAACAAAGAGTTTGACACACTTACAGTTGCAGTGTAACGATCACTAAGCATATCCAATATCGCTGCTAGCTAGATCTGAACCACGTGCACTGCATCAAGCCCTGTTATTGGTTACCCAGTAACCCACGTGCACTGCATCAAGCTTTGTCATTGGTTACACTTATCTCCTCAGGCGGTTGCGAGTGGGAAAGATGGAGTTACGGAGAATGTGTGGTGACAGACTTTTTAAGGTGTAGAGGTACTAGAGAGAAGTCCCGCCAACAGTTCCCCGCGGGAGGAGGATATTTTTCAACCATCACCAAGGTACATTTCTTTTTAATGTTTTATCACTGCGGGCATAACAATCCATTTCTATTTAATTGTTAGTTTAGATATTTGATATTTCAAATATCGTTTTCATCGTTAATCTTTGCTTTTTACTTCAAGTCTTTTCATTTTCAGGTTGCTGATTGCGCTGAAGTAGAAGTAGTCACAATACCCTGCAAACAGCGTAATTGCAATGACAATTAGAAACTGCCAATCAAAACTCATCACTCTTTAGATCCTTTCACTCATTTTGGAATCTTGTTGAAGGAAGGATTAGGACGGTTTTTGACCTTGGGGTTATTTCTTGTACATTTTTATAGTTTAATTTAAGAAACCACCTAAATTTAGTCATTAGTTTTCACATAAATTTTAAGTCGTCTGAGCAAGACGTTGGTTTTATTTATTTAATTTTGCATTTCGTTTTTAAAACATGGACAGCCAAGAGGTGGGTGAATTGATATTCATGCTTCCCCGGAATTAAAAAGAGTTGATTATATTGTATATGTTAATTGCAAGTTTTGACAATCTATCCACACTCATTGTATTGATATGATCAACTGACAGCATTACCAACTGATTACTATTAGGGGTCGTTCATAATCTTACCCTCCCCCTGCCTCCGTAATCAGCTTTAGTTTTACACATCTATGTCAAAATTATTGCTCTAACCAGAGCCCAGAGCCCTCTCGCTTGCAGTAGCGCGTCAAGCAGACGCGTAGACATGCATGGCTATGTGAATCAAAATTACACTGTGCACTAGCTTATAAATCATTTGGAAACCCCCTTCTACTTTTGCCGCGATTACGTAATACTTGAACGACCCCTTATTGCAGATATCTTGAATAGATATTAGATTCACATAGCCATGTGTATACGCGTACTGCGTGACCCGGACGTGCTTGTTTCCCAAGCCTTCGGCGTGGCGGTCGCGCGCTACTGCAAGCGCGAGAGGGCTCTGGTTAGAGCAAGTTATTAAATATAATTGTATTGGACAACGGCAAACGTACTGTCACCAAGATGTAAGTAGGTCGAACGGAAAAATTAGGTCTCACGCAGGAATTAGGTCTCAAGCAGGCGCGGTTGTGTTGTTGTATACTTCTCTTGTGCAGCGCACGCAAAGATCACTGAACTACTATACTGAGCTTGCTGGTATATTATATGTAATATGGCTCGCTTCTCTTTGGGTTCACCTAACCATGTGCTTGCGCACTACTGCGGCCGCGGGTGCGCAATTGCTTCGCAAGTTACCGCCGGGAGGAGGGCGCCACTGCAAGCGCAAGGTTGTACTTGTAGGTTTATAACCTTCCAGGACGCGCGCGCGCTGAGTTGTAGGTTTACAACCTACCAGGACGCGCGCCGAGTTGGACTCGTCGACGTCAATATATGGAACAGATATTTAACGAGTATCACCCGTTAAGCGCTGAGTTCAGAGTTGGACTCGTCGACGGTCAACAATAATTGGAACAAATATTAATTACGAGTATCACCCGTTAATATAATCGGAACAAATATTTTACGAGTATCTTCCGTTAAGCGCAAGGGCTCTGGATAGATATAAGTCCAAACTTTATTTGCAGTTTTCATAATTTTGGCCTATAACTTTTACAGTTTTATTCACATATCAAAACAATTTTTATGTGGTCGTAATCAGCTCAGCAAGCAAAACATTTTGCGGTACTAATATTTCAAAATTTAAACATTAAAGAAATGTTTGTAGCGCGATGCGTTACTGTGCCGCGCCGCGCACTTAATAAGGCTTCTCACAGCGTCTTTTGGCGCGTATCTTGCTGGAATTCCTCAATTCCTGGCTAGATCGGCGAGATGCGCTACTGTGCCGCGCCGAGCTGCCATGAATTGACATCGTCAATTAAAGAAATGTTATTTAATTTTCAAAATTTTTGAACCTGACTTTTTGTGTGAATTATTGAAAAAATTTTTGAAAAATTTGGTGCTTTTAATGTTGTATGTTTAAATATTTTACCCAAATTAATGCGTCGATGAAATTGATGAAGTTGATGATGAAGTTGAAAATGTTGAATGTAAAGGTTTCAGAAGACAAAAGATTGTAGCATGTAGGTTTACAACCTACCAGGACGCGCGCCGAGTTGGACTCGTCGACGGTCCTATATATGGAACAAATATTTTATTGTATCACGCGGTGACCCCCATACCACTGTCGCTTTGCAATATAGTATCGTTTTCGACGATACAGGGGGAGCCGCGCACTTCGTGCGCGGCGGGTCATACAACGTATGACAAATATTTTACGAGTATTACCCGTTAATGGTTAAACAAAAAAGTGAGCTGAAAAGAAGACAAGATTCTATTCTATTTTATTGATTATTATATTTATTGCAATAAACATATAATATCCATTACTCCAGGAGTGATGATAGGCTAGGATATAAAAAAGTAATGCGTCTGACCGAGCTGAATACGATGCTGTAAAAATTATTCCATAATGATCAACATTCAAAAAGTTATAGGCATTTTTAGCAACAAATTATCCATTTTTCGTCAATATTACATACTTGCAATGCACAGGAGGCCCACATAGTTATATTGCAAAGATATACAAAGATATGCTCAAGAATATCGAAATGCAATGTTTTGTAGCGCGATGCGTTACGGTGCCGCGCCGCGCACTCAATGAGGCTTCTCACGGCTAGATCGGCGAAATGCGCTACTGTGCTTCGCCGAGCTAGCTGCGATGAATCGACATCGTCAATTAAAGAAATGTTATATTTTCTGTATTGACTTTATCTGAGGAAAAATGGACTTTCTAGAGAGGAATCGGTTGAAATCGATCCTTATAAAAGGCAGTAAGTCCGCAATTCTCTCAGAAAAGGGAATTGTTTGAAGTACGATATGGACCAAATTTGACCGAGGAGTATCAAACAATATGACGGAAAAATGAGCCTCCTCGGCCATGGCCGAGCAGTATCAAAAAATGATCCTCCTCGGCCGAATGAGCCTCCTCGGCCAAGTGAGTATGGTTTTTTATTTTATTTTTAAAAATGAGCCCCCTCGGCCACCATACACCATTAACCCTCTCTGACTCTATATTTAAAGGGTGATACTCGTAAAATATCTGTTCCATATATTAGGACCGTCGACGAGTCCAACTCGGCGCGCGTCCTGGTAGGTTGTAAACCTACAAACTCTATATTTGAGGGACGGACCGGAGATCAGTAAGCCACGGGTAATGTATCTGACCGAGGGATTTCTGCAATGTCATAGTTTTAAATTTTATTTATGATTGTCGCAGAATTTAATATAATCACATAAAAATGATCCTCCTCGGCCGAATGAGCCTCCTGGCCTCGGCCACGTGAGAATGGTTTTTTATTTTATTTTTAAAAATGAGCCTCCTCGGCCACCATACACGTGACAGGCTAGTAAAACGTGAATTCGATTATTTAGGGCTCGGGTTAGGGTTAGGGTTGTGGTTAAGATTATGGATAGCTTCGGGGTTATGGTTAGGGTTAGGGTTGGGATTAGGGTTTATGTAAAACCGTTTTGTACGGCTGCAAAACCAAAAAAACAAAGTCACGTGAACTTTTTGGGCGAGCGATTTAGTAAGAGCCAAATTTGACAGAATATGTTTCGACAGGAAGACAGGGACACGGGAAGACAATTTGTAGGTTTATAACCTACCAGGACGCACAGGGGGAGCTGAAACCAGGTTTTCGATCAAACGCTGCCATGTGTAGTCAAACGTCGCCAAAAGTTGCTCTCGTCCAATGAAATCGCTGCATTATGTAAGCCAAGCTCCGCATATGAATATATGTAATTCAATTATGCATACTGACTTGCAAAATGCAGCGATTTCATTGGACGAGAGCAACAAACGAGATTATTATTGTTATTACATCTAAAATAGCTAATAATTTAATTAAATATTAACAAGTGGATAGTGAAACAAATTTTCAAATCAAAATATAATGACACAAACATCATCACACATCATCAAAAATATATCTACTAAAGTTTAAAAATTATCTTAAATATATTGGCCTAAACAACCAAGTTAAAATGAATCTAATTTACATACTTTCCACTACTATATAAGTTGATAAAGCGTTTTTTAGCAACATGAGGATTACACACAAGATATTCATTGTGCTTCTCTTTATTAGTAGCATAATTTAATCCCTCGATCTTTCCTAATACTTCGTCCGAAACATACCAAAAATGACTATCATTTACAGATCCGTTTAAAATAGTCTCTTTTTTGAAAGCCTCTAATCTTATTTTAAAACTTAACACAGTCCCACAATTCTTGACATCCGAGGGGAGTTTGTTCCAATATGGTCTCACCCTCTCCGGAAGAAAAGAACTGTGGACTTTCTTCATTTTACTGCTACTTTTACTGCATCTACTGTTTGATACCACATTAAGACCAGATCTGCTCATACTGAACAAACCAGCTCCGTAATTGGCCAAACCACTTATCATTTTAAAAGATTCAATGAGGTCCCCACGTATTCGCCGCTCTGCCAGCGTTGTTAAATTGAGGATTTCCAGTCGACGACTGTATGGAAGAGTACCCACCTCGTCAATCAGACGGGTAAACCGCCTCTGGACGCTCTCCAGCTCCAAGATGATCCCCCAACTTCCATGAGCCGCAACTGGACTCCACAATTGAACACAATACTCTAAATGGGGTCTTATCAAAGCTTTGTAAATGGATATCATCACAGATTTTTCCCTGATAATCAGATTTCTAACAATCCAACATATCATTCTGTTGGCTTTAGATATTGAAGCCTTAATCTGTTCATTCCAAAGCAGAGAGTTATGGGTTATAACTCCCAAGTCTTTTTCCTGTACAGATTCTGCCAATGTAACTCCATTAAGAGAATAACTTGATCTTGGGTTATCGTTAACATCTAAATGCATTACCGAACACTTAGTAGGATTGAACTTTAAAAGCCATTTACTCTCCCACATCTCTAGTTCGTTCAGATCATTAACTATAGTTTCATGCTCGGAGGCATTAGCTATAAGCTTAAGATCATCAGCAAATATTTTAACTTTACTTTTAATGTTATCTGGTAAATCATTAATAAATAACACAAATAGTAATGGTCCAAGGACTGATCCCTGGGGAACTCCTGACCATACAATCTTCCACTCTGAAGTTTCACCTTCTACACACACTCTCATAGTTCTATTTGAGATAAAATCTGTAATTACATCTAAAACTTTACCAGTTATCCCTAGACTCTCTAGCTTGTTAATCAAGCGATAATGGGGAACAGAATCGAAAGCTTTACTAAAATCAAAATAAAATAAGTCCACAGGAGCACCTTCATCTATTAAATTATGTATAGTGTCGAAAGTCTCCAAAAGATTTGACAAACAAGATTTTCCTTTAACAAACCCATGTTGGTCCTTTGAAATACGGTCTTCTAAAAATTCTAACACATGGGATCTAACAAACTGTTCATAAACTTTACAAAGAATACAAGTAAGAGAAACTGG